TCAAAAAAGTTACTTCAAACCTTTCACAGCCCTACCATGGAAATATAAAGTTCCCAAACATAACTTTATAGTAGCTGATCTACTTCAAGGGAATGTGAAAGAGCAAGAAGTTTTGAAGGAGCAGTCCCAAATGAGACTACAGTCATGATGCCAACACCCAAGGCAACCTCATGCCCAGATGTAGTCAGAAGAGTTCACAAGGCCACCAGATGCACAGCACCCACACAGAAGTTGTGCAGCAGAGGGGCCTCCTACTTTTTCTTTTCTTTCTTTTTTTTTGGTACTGGGGATTGATTGAATCGAGTCCTTGCACTTGCGAGGCAGACAGCAGTACCTTTTAAAACTAACTGTTTTCTTGCTATGGAAAGCTTGAGTGAAAGGCTGCTAACCACACCTTAAGACAAGAGCCCTAAATGACAACTGACAACTGTGTCCCAGGCCAGGAAATCAGAGGCTTTGGTTCATCATAAAAACAAAGACAAGTAAAAGTGTTCTGAGGGTAATGCAAATCACCATTATGGTTTGATCAATTCACACATAACCAACTATTTAAGAAAGTTTCCTTCAAAGTTCCACTTGGAGGGAGGAACACACTGAAATGGGCCTTATAAACACACAGGGACTGACCACTTCAACTTTATTTTGACTTCAAAGACACAGATGTGGCCGATTTGTCCCACTCTACTTCGAGGGCAGTGGCAAAATGAGGTGGGTACCGTTCTGATCCAAAAGCACCTCAAAGGGTCCAGGGATTTAGCTCAGTGGTTCTGCTGTCTGCCTTGAAAGTAAAAGGTCCTGAGTTCGATTCCAGGTACCAAACAAACAAACAAGCAAACGCACCCTGAAGAGAGCCCTAAGAACAGCAGGCCTGCTCCCAGCATCCCAGCATCCCAGCATCCCTTGGGCATCAACCGCTGCATGACCGACCTATGAGCCCCAAACAGCCTCCTCCAGAGCACCCAATCCCCTGGCTGGACCAGCACTCAGCCTTGGCGAGTCATCGCCTTCTCCAGCTCAGACCCTTCTCCAGCAAGGCCGAGCAGGAGCACAGTGAGCAGGCAGGACAGATGCCCCCTCAAGAGTTCACAGCCCGTCTCCTGCTGCACCCCAAATGTGAGGCGCACTGGCTCCCAGGGAGCACGGAAGGAGTGTGAGCTGCTCATCCAACCTCATCACCAAGGAGGTGCTGAGTAACCCACTTGCCCCGCCAGGGCTCCTCCAGCACCAGAGGTGCAGCCTCTGCTCTACAGCGAGCAGAGCGGCCTGATGCTGTCTTTACATCTCCCCACAAGTTACTTTTCTTGGTTCTTTTCAAGCGCCACTGCCAACTGAGTGTATTAAGAAAAATGGGATAAGGCCTCTGGCCTATAGCAACCCCCACCTGGGCTACTCCCTCAGGCAGCTGCATCACACACACAGGCAGGAAGCCCATCTGTGACACTTCGGCAACATTCTCAGCCCACAACAAGCGCCTCACCCACTTTGAGACAGAGATGACTTGGATAAAGCCCTCCTTCAAAGACTTTGGTACTTCCACAGTAACATCATGCTTCAAACAGTGAGAATGTAAGAAACAGGACACGTGAGGGAATAAGAAATGCTACTTGACAGCTGTGCACAGGCTTCATCCTGACAGGATTCCACGTTCTACAATGATGTGAACTCCAACACTATAGCCAGGGAAGTTGAGGTTCTATGAACAATGAGCCCAGTCCCCAGTCAAACAGCAACCGTATCCTCAAACAGCAAAATATAAACTTCTAAGAACGTCCCTTGTGCAGAGGCTGGCCCCTAGAGACCCAGTGCCATCACTTCAGAGGTGGCCTAGCCAAGAAGGTACATTAGCCACTGGTGGATTTACCTTCCCTCTCCCACCAACAATTCACACGCTCCACCACCAGATGGGAACCTGGGCCCTGTCCTTACCCACAGCCCAACCTTGCGAGCACCATCCTAAAAGAAGTAGCACACAGGTACTCCCGGGCCACAGCATCTAGAGTGAGGGCATGGCTTTCTGTCCTGGAACAGGCACCTATGCTCTGGCCAAGTCCTAGGGCAACAAGAGAGTAAACCGTGAACGTCAGCCGGATTAACAGAGCCACCGTAGGAAAATGCTAATTTGCACACCAAAAGGTTGCCTTTTAGAAATGAGGCTCTTCAGCACAGCACCTATTCAAAAAGGTCCTTCAGAACCATTTATACACATGCTAATCTGAACGGCACAGCCCAAAGCACCTTCTCCTTCTCTCAAAGGTAATCACCATGAGACTGCCATTGCGGCCACCCCAAGGTATGTGCAACCAACTCCTGCTCCTCAGTGTTCTTGAGATAACCACAGGTCTCTAAAGATCTCTTCTATCTTCTTTTCTCATTATCCTCACAGTGGATAAAATTTAGACTCTGGCACCTTCAAACAAGCAAATTACAACTGCAGTAACATAAATGTCTCTTTGAAAAACTGTTCTAACAAATATCAAGGCGAGTTTGCTAAAACCAAATTCAACACGCTTATTAAAAGCTCACTGTGAGTTGGGTCCGGCCTGGCGGTGCAGCAGGCCTGCATTCCCAGTGCTCTGGGAGACTGAGGCAGAAGGATCACAAGTCTGAGAGCAGCCTGGGTAACTTAGCCAGACCCAAAACAAAACAAAAGGCGGCCCTGTGTTCAAACTGCAGTATGTAAGAGGGGGTGAACACTCATGAAGGCCTGCAATTTGACCTCAAGGACCTCAGGTAGAAACAGTAGGCACCACCCCTCTGCCCACTAGAGGAGGGCCTGGGAGGGGCACAGCACCCTTTCACACTCAACTGCCAACAACGCTACTCCACTTGACACCTACTTACAGCTTTGAAACCCTGCCCTCCCCCAACTTTCTCCAGCAGCCTCAATTTGTATCACTAAGTTGTAACAGGGAGCTATTAGCCAAGAAAAAGTTTTGTGAAAAGTTACTTCAACCTTTATTCTATACATATTTTATCATGAAAGACGTCAATGAAACAAATATCAACTGGAAGAATTTAACATACTCTGATCAGTGATACAATACAGCCAGAACATTTGTAACCCACCACTGTGATACACAAGATGTAGACTGTACTGTTTAAGAAAAGAACTTTGGCTCAGAACATTGGTGATTTTATCTCTTCTTGTTTAGCACTGACTATTAAAATAAAATAATTAATCAGCATACTTAAAAGATCATCTGAGCATAAAGAGATGGATGGATATAGACCTTTTATTTTCTAGAAATCTGTGGCCACTTTAAAGCCCTGCTCTCAGAATTTGCCACCAAACGTGAAGAGAAGCCAATCTCTGCCTCACACACCCTGGATTGCAGAGATGCAGGTCAAATGAAACAACTTTTTTTGAAGGAGCTGACTCCTGGCCAAACACAACCAACCCCAACCTGACCTTAAAGTAGACTGCAGAAGTGAGTTTCAGGACAGCTCAAGACAGAGACGGCACAGACGCCCTTTTCAAATCACATCTTCCTTCTCTCAGGGAGAAAAAGAGATGAGCTTTACCTATAATACGCTTAGAACAAGGGAACCGGGCCAACTCCAGATCACTACTGAGAAGATCCATAGCGCCTGGCCCACCAGCTTTGGGCGTGAAAGGACAGCTCAGGGATGTACTTGCTAGGCTGTGAGGGACCCCTGTGGAAGGGTCTTTTAAAAGTAGATACAAAGTATCTGGCACTCCACCTAATAGGCTACAATCACAACTGCTTTTATACTAAACATCCCTCATAATTTCCACCAAAAGGTCAAAATACACATAATGAGCAAAACACAACCTTCAATCAAACACCTGCAATTTCTTCACACTCCCCTGATGTGTGGCTAGGGGTACTGTGGCAGCTCTTGGGGTGCTTCTTTCCAATCCCCTCTCCTAGGAGCACAGCAGCCCCCCCACTGCCACCCCACAACCACTCAGTCTGGCTCCCGCTCCCTGCTCCTGCCTCATGAGGCAGATCCCACTGGATATTTGACCGGAAGCCCTGAATCTCACCAGCTTCAACAAGCTGGTGCTTCAGCTCTTTCAAAATGACCAGGTTCTTCACAGAGAGCAGGAGGGACCGAGTGACAGCAGCAATGTCCTCCTCACTTTACTATTGCTGCCACAGCCGCTGCACGTGTCGCTGCACACCAGGAGAAGAGCGCTTTGATAAGCTCAACACTCCAGCCCAGGGTTCAGCTCCTGTCTGAGGACTCCCAAACAAAGCAGCCTGGCATGCACTGGTGGGCATGGAATTGCCCATCAAACAAGGAATCCTAAGGGATCACAGGCTCTGAGAGAAGAGTGTAAAAATCTCAAAAGCTGAATCAGCTTTCCTGCCCAGACGTCTGTGCACACGTGTGGGTTCCACATCACTGTCACCTCCTGCACCCCAAGACCTGTGTCCCAGAACCACCCCACTGACCTCCGGGAATGGCAGCAACGAAAGTATCAGGCTGACTTCGGTGCCAACAGGAGCTGAGACTGCTCCAGAGCATGGGCCTCCTCTACCTCCCTGATGACAGCAGGGAAGCCCAAGTCTTCCAACCAGACTTCCTCAGCCTGGGTATGTGTGGTCACCCTTCCTGGCCCTCACCTGCAGAAGTGGGGAGGGTGTCTCTGACCCACCATCACACCCCAGCGTCCAGGAAGGCCACCAGCCTGACACAGAGAGGAAAGCCCTGCATAAACTGTGAACAGGCACCAGAAACGCTCCTCTGGAACTGTGCGGGGGCAGGACACAGGGGACCCTTCCAAGTACCCCTGCAACAGTAACACTGAAGAAAAATACAGCAACCAGCCAGTGTCGAGAGTGGCCAGGCATCCAGCCCGCTCACGGGACGCACAACACCTGGGCAAAGACAGCCCCTCGGCCTGCTGCCACAGCTGCGGGCCCTGCAAGGCAGGCGGCCCAGGCAAAGCCCCAGAACACAGCCCAGAACTTCCTGGAACGGTGGCAGCCGTTCCGACCCGCCCTCCCTTCCCGCCTGGCGCGTCCACTCACCTGGGGGCAGCTGGAAGTTCTGGATGTTGGTCGGGTTCTGAGGCGGCTGTGGCAGGCGGGG